GAGGGCTCGGCCGCCGAAAAGAGTGCGTCGATTGGTGCGGCCGAGTGTCACTTGCGAAGAACCCCGCGGACATTGGCGTTTCTCTCGGGCCTGTCATCCTCTTCCATCCAGTGAGAGCCCGGGGTGGGGCGCGCCCGCCAACTTCGCCTCGGATTGGTCCTTGTGACAGCCAATCAGATCTTGCTGCATTCTCATTGGCTCTTCTCTAAAGTCTCTTAGCTCTCCGGGAGGACGGAAAAATGCAGAGCGCCTGGCCTATTTGATCGCTGATTGGTTTATGTTTCCGCCACTCACTTCCGTATAAGCGTCTGTCACCGCCACGTCACCCCCTCCCGTCACTCTTCTCGGCGTCCTCTTCCGCCCTTCGGGATTGGTGGTTGATATCAGCTCCTCAACCTTTTCTACCATTCACTGAACGCTCTGAGGTAAAAGGGGAGGAGTCTTGTACTTCACAGCCTCATTTTCATTTTTTATTGGTGAACATCAACGTCACTTACACCTCGACGGAGAGGAAGGGTGGTGATTGGAGAAGATTAGTTCCGGGAATTGTCTGTGAAAGCGGGACCTGGCAAAATTGACCAATGAAAGACACGTAGTGAGGGATGGGCAGGCAAGATAACCAATGAAATCAAGGAACATCTTTCTCAGGCTTGCCTTCCTGCTTAGGGTTTGAGGGACAGTGATGGGAGGCGGAAGCTCGGTGGCCTTCCATGGTGTAGTTTCCGTGTCGGGCGCGATGTTGACCCTTTCTGAGTTAAGAGCTCCAGACTGTAGTTAGGAAGAGTCGGCCCCGACCTGTAGGACCGCTCTTCTCTCCCAGAGTTGGAGTTCCCTCTGCCTGGCGGCCCCTCATTCCCTTCCCCGGCTCGCACTGTCGCGCCTCACCGTCGTCTCTCCATTCCAGGCCGTCTCTTTCCTCTGCTCTGTCCTGGCGCATCGCCTGGCTTGAAGGGCAGACTCGAGAGGGCCTGACTGCATCTTTTCCAGCCCTAAAAGCCCTGTGTTGGTTTTAGCACCATAGATTCATAGGTACTCGTTTAACTTTTTAGACAAGAAATCGTTATTTTCATCAATTGGCTTTGTCTACACGTTGTGAAAAATAAAAAGCCGAATTCAGTAACTAGTGTAACATTCGGGCGTTGTAAACTATTATTACAAACGCAGCCAGCAAGCAGCTTGGTACTTTGAGAACTCAGCACCGGTTTGTTTTACCAGTTTGAAGAAGTGAATTTTCCTCGAAAAAAACCAAAACAGAAAATACAGGAAAACGCCCCCCCCCCAAAAGCAAAACACCCCATTTTAGAAACTGACTCCAAGGGCTGGGGATTTACTTCAGTGGTTTTGCCGCCTGCCTTGCAAGTGTAAGTGCCCGAGTTCAATTCCCAGTACCATTTAAAAAAAGGAAAAAATGATTTCAAACGGAGAGAAATATTTATTGAATTCTGGAGAAAGAATGCTCTACACATTTTCAGTGTGATGTAAGTTAATTGGGATTAATTCTTTAAAGAGACTAAACCCATTTATGCTTGAGTGGTGTCTTTGCTAATTGTTGGTTCTATGACTGGAAAGGTCATTTAAGCACTCCAAGTCTAAAAGCAATAAAACTGTACAAAGAGGCTGTTGCAACTAAGCGCATGTCCATGCTCAGAGTTTTTTTAAAATAGGAAAACACCTATAACAATATGGATTGTGTTGCCAATGCCCTTTTCATCATTTATCGATCACAAAGGAGAAAGACACACTAGTTTTAATTCAGGTAAGTCGGGCTGTCTCTACCTTAACCTGGTTATCTGCCTTATCATCCCTAACCCTGAGACAGTCAATATTTTTGTTAGGTCCCTGTGGTTTAGCATGAAATACACATCATCAGTTAATAAAATTTCCTTGCCCAAATTGTTGAAGCTGAATGAATGTAGCCAAGCCATTAGATCTTAGCTCCAGTTTACAGACTGGAGAAGGCGGTTGAGGGACACCCAAAGGAGGCAGTTGAATCAGGCCGGTGAAGCGTTCTGTAAGACAATTATTTCACAGAAGCGCCATGAGCCCTGGCTCTTCAGGTGGACCCAGGAAAATCAACACCATAAAAAGGAGGCAGGGGTGACTGTTCTAAATTAAAAAAAAAAAAAAGAGAACCAAGACCTGTCATGTAAAGGTCCAAGATCCCAATAATGAATGTAACGGTACTGTATACCTAAAATGTACCAATAAACTCAATAAAAAAACTTTAAAGACACAGTCAAATGTTTGACTGGATTCTTCTGTATAAACAGCCTTTTCGACATTTTGGGGACTGTTGGAATTTTAAAATGGACTCGTGTCAGAGGTTATTAGGTGATCATTACATTTGCTGAGTAATGGTATGATGGGTAACATAAAATGTAGAGAAATGTGCTAAAGTGTTTAGGAGTGAAGAATCATATTGTTTGTAGGTTTCTTTGAAATGGGTCAGCAAAAAGGAAGGAACACAGTCAGCCAAAACTAGTAATACATACTTTAAAATGCACAACCACACATCCTCCTATCTTTTACACAAAACATATGTTAAATCTAGGTGGCAATTATAGGAGTGTTTCTTATACTATCATTTCTACTTTTATTGTATATTTCAATATTTTTAAAGTTTCAAATGCTGTCTTTCAGGCTGTTGCCAACAACTGCTTCTGGCCTACAGACCAAAATTCTTTTTGTTTTGTTCTTTTTGAGATAGGATCTCACCGTGTAGTCCAGGCTGGCTTTGACTTCTATGTAGCCTAGGCTGGCTTCAAGCTCATGGCAATCCTCCTGCTTCAGCCTCCCGAGGGCTGAGATTACAGATCTGCACCATCCTGCCTGGCAGACTGGACCAGAATTCTTAGCCTGGCACACATGGTCCATAACCATCTAGTGTCACAACTGCTTCCCAGCCTGGTCTCTTTCTTCCTTTTCTTGATGAACTCCATGTGCCCACTGAATACACCCAAGGCCAGCCTGAACTACCTAGTGAGACCCTGTCTCAAACAAAAGAAACCAAAACAAAGCATCAATATTTTCTGCACAGCTGTCCCCATCTCCAGACCTGAGCAGCTGGTTGGGAGCACAGTAGGGAACGTATAGATAGACTTTGGCTCCGCCTGAAACAAAAGCTCTCGGGGACAGGTGTTAAATAAGAAACATACAAGTGAAAATGGACCTTGTTTGTGTAGAGAAAATATGTCCAGTAATGACATACAGATGTGCAGTAAAATAGAGAGAGAGAGAGAGAGAGAGAGAAGCAGGTGTGACCTGCTTCAGACATTACTCTAAGCTATGATGGGGCAGGTGGGAGTGTGGCAGGGACGGAAGTAGACATGGGCATGGGAGGCCTGGTCACCCCAGCCCAGAACAGGTCACAAAGCCTCCTTTGAGTTTGTCTGTAGGAAGTAATTGAGGCAGTGACGCTAATATCTGTTTACAGTGATGGTTTGGAGTTGGCAGAGTGGGGAGAGGCAGCAATTAAGCAGGGAAACACTGGTAACTTGGTTGAATGTGGTGGCCACAGGCAGGCAGCAGAGTAGACGCCCTCCAGTGATGACATGGGCAGAACCCCGCACGTGACCATGAGTCGGTCAGTGCATCAGGGTCAGCTAGCGTGTGAAGGATGACGACTTCTGGAAACAGGTGCTTGACTTTCTCATGGCATCATGGTCAGACTATGCTCCCTCATTGTTTATGCTCCCCCACTATGGGGAGGGTACCTCCAGGAGGGCCACTGGGGATTGAACCCAGGGCCCCACATACCCTGGGCATGTGCTTTACCATTGAGCTATGTTCACAGCCCTTTTTAAAATTTTATTTTGAGACTGGCTCCCACTGAGTTGCCCCAGCTAGCTTTGAATTTGCAATCCTCCTGCCTCAGCCTTCCCAGTAGGTGGGATCACAAGTGTGTACCATTACACCAGACCCTCTTTTCTTT